GTTTTTAAGCAAATTGTTCTGTTTTCTCTGGCTTCCCCAAGCTTTATACTGCAGATAGGGCAGTTTAAAAAAATAATGCTAATTTAAATAAAGATCCAACTGTGATGCTGCATTGTGGAACTTGTGGGCTCATTTTAGGCCTTCTGTTTGTGTTTCTTGATTCCCCCAGTTCCCAGATGTGCAGTGACTCATCCTACTGAACAATGGGAACAGCATCCCTTATTCCTTCACTTGGTCCCAGTTGGCAAAACTGTTACTCAGAGGATATGTATTGCAGAGGGAGAGGAGATTAGCAGTGAGAGAGTGAATCATCCAAGCATTTGTGGTAACACTTGTGTGGTGAGCAAGAAGTTGAGGAAGACTAATGGTCTATGCTATGCTCTGGTGTACTAAACAGGAGGATCTGAACTGAGTAAAATTCATAACTCGGAGGTCATTCTTCCTTCCCCCACCACTGTTCCAGAAAACACAGGGCATGGATGACAGACAGGGTTTTGACATTGTGATTTATTATCAAGGAGGATGGAAAACATAGTTAGCTCGTTTGTGTTAGCAGCAAAATAGATGATGGTCACCTCAGGATTTGATAGAGCTTTCAAATGTGAAATAAACTATTAGTCAAAAATACAAACAAACAAAACAAATGTAAGTACAGACATGATTCACTGACATGTTTTGTTGCTTTGTATCTAAGGACCGTGCTGGTTGAAATGAAATGATGTCTTTCAGACTTTAAGAATATTATTTATGAATATTGTTAGAGTGTTTTCTAAAAGGAAACAGGCTACTTACTAACAGAGAAATAAAAGATTTGGGTCTTTTTAAATCTGAAAAGACAAAAGCTCAACAGTCTTCGGTGAACGCAGTTGATCTGAGGAAGCTTCTTGAGCTGCCACAGTTTTCCGTGACGCAGCAGCCTGTAAAAGATTGACGTATCTGACCTGGACCTTTTTTTTGCTTGTTTGAGTGAGCACACTATGATGTGATTATCTTTAGGCATTGAAATATAATTTGGATGGCTTTCATTTCTATTTTTCTGCTTGCAAGCATAGTTTGAAATAGATTGCAATCTTCAAAAGAGCTTTTTTTTTTCCCACTAGAACTGTTAAAATACTGTGATTGAAGTTGTCAGTCTGTCAATTTGGTATCTGATGAATCAGTTGCAAGTATTGGCTACCACTTCTATAGGAAGTCATGCCAGTAAACCAGAAATAACTCTGAGATCTGGGAAATGAGAGCATTTGAAGTGCGGAGCCAGCTTTTGAGTGCAGTGGGATGGCTAAATGACTTTGGAGAAACACTAACGATTTGCACTGAAAAAGCTAAACCAGCTTGTTTGTGTCTTGAACTATCAAAAGCTGATCCGCTTTTATTTTGATGTTAATTTGCCTCGAATGGAAACCCTACCTTGATGAGCAATTCATAAATTCACTGAGTCTATGTTTTTAAATATGTAGACATGCACGTGTGGTTTTATGCGTGTATAATACCTAAAGCATGATAGCTTTGTATAAATAATAATTTATCAACTGAATTCAGAATTGCATTCAAGTGCAGCTTTATAAAGTTAACTAAATTTGACTTCTAGAGCTAACTAATATTGTGAGCTATTTTTCCATTGTGACAAAGGAAAAAAGATAACGGAATGTTCAGCTAATACAATTGTTCCAATTAAAAATCCAAATACAAAGCAGCCCTAACATTTGGAGTTTCCATGTTTTCCTCATTTAAATACATTACAAATTATTCATCGGGTCAGTTGGTGCCATCTGCAGTTATCCTGTGCTGGCCTGTTCCATGAACTGAAATACCCCATGGATTTCCCAGCAGTAACCAAGTTTTCAGTGAATCAGACTAAGCTGAGAGCAAGGTTGTGTGAGAAATCTTGGAGCAGGAGCTGAACCCACAATTCCATAAGCCATAACACAGGACTTGATCAGGGAATCATCTTTAAAGCAGGGAGTTTCAGTATGTGGTGTCCATTTGGGGTTGTTTAGGGTGGGGGGCTTTCTCCCTTCAGATTTGTGTGCTTTAATGTTTTGAGCCTTTCTTAACTTTAGACTCTCTGGAGCTTGTCAGGGATTTATTGTTTTGACTGGAAGCAGGTATTTTGACTTAAGTACTGGATGTCTTTTGACTTCTGGGCTGGAAGAGACTATTCGGACCTCTTCAGATCTGTCAGAGCGTGCATATGGTGTTCACACCTGTTCCAGCAACCTGACTTGCGTTACCCAGGTGTGTTGTAATTACTGCTCAAAATTAGCCAGAATGAGTTATTTGGCTTAATTACAATGTTATGAAAGGCTCTATAAGAGCCTAGGGAAGTCCAGCTTCCCTAAATCACTGCAGAAATGAACATGTATTTTTCTTTCATTAGATTATTTTCTTACCTTCTTATAAATGTGCAAAATGTTAAACTGATTGATGTGTGGGGCAGGAAATGGGGGAGGCAGAAGCTGTAAATCAGGTGAACTTGCTTGTGTGTCCCAGCAGTTTACATGCATACAGCTGTTTCCTGCTCAGCGTGGGAGGGGATATGGACAAGGCAAGGACTCTTAAAGCAACTGGGTAGAAAGTAGGAATAAGTTGTATCAGAGACAGACAGTTTGCAGCCTTGTTGCACATCTAAAGGCATTGTGTAGGACGAAGCACAATAGATGGGGGGGGGCGGGGGTGTGTGTTGAATCTTCAGTGACCTTTTCTTTTTGGTCTCTTCCATCTCCTAATATGACTAATGCTGTACAGGAAGAACTTTTCTTATTCATACGGTCTGCGATACCTCTACTGATCCAACAGAGTGCCAAAAAATACAGGAAATTACTTTCACCTTATGAAAATTCATGATTGTAAGGAAGCTCTTAGAGCAATCGCTCTTTGGAAACTCCCCCCCCCAAAAAAAAGTATTTTTTTCTGCTAGTGATCCATGGTAAATCTTTTGTAATACATGGTAGGTTTTTGCAAATATGTGTGCATTCTCTCCTTTGTGAAAAAGCACTTCTAGTTTAAAATGTTAGGAAATAATAAGCTGCAGGACTTTTTTTGTCTATGCTTTAGGCGCAAAGTATGTACTTGCACAGTACCCGGTATCCTCTCATCTCCAGTGTGATTCTTCAGGGTGAGCTGTTGTGCTGGCATTTCTTTGCGGTTGTACTGGAAGGGAATAAATCTGTTTTGCTAATGGTGTAGAGGAGAATGGATGATTTAAGAATTTAGATTGCTGTTGGAATCTGAGATGGTATTTTGAGAACGTTCTCATTCTCAACTGGTGACTTGGTGAGGGCACCTACTGTCGGTTGGGTAGTTATCAACACAGCCCTGATCTGTGATATAATGTGATTTGCTGCCTAAAGTGATTAAAAGGCAGCAGGATTTTTCCATTATATCATTCTTACAACATGGCTACAACTGTGAGACGCTGTGGTGGTTTAAACCCAGTCAGGCAACTCATTCACTCGCTCCCCCCCTTCTTTCCCTCCCCCTGCTCCCGAAGGGACAGAGAGGAGAATCGAAAAGAATGCAACTCCCACGGGTTGAGATAAGAACAGTTTAGTAACTAAGGTATAACACAGATCACTGCTGCTACCACCAATAATAACAATGGTAAAGGAAATAACAAGGGAAGAGAATACAGCACCTCACCACCAGCTGACTGATAACTTGCCCCCCCAACCCAACCAAGCACCGACCAATACCTCCTCCAACCCTGCCGTCCCAGCCCCTCTGGGTAACTCTGTTACCTCCTGGGCATGACGTGCTGTGGTATGGAATACCTCTTTGGTCAGTTTGGGTCAGGTGTCCTGTCTCTGCTTCCTCCTGGCTTCCCCTCCTCCCTGGCAGAGCATGAGGCTCACAAAGTCCTTTATCAAACCAAAACATCATGCCGAAAGTCAAAACACAGCACTGTACTGGCTACTAAGAAGAAAAATGACCACTACTGCTGAACCCAGGACAGACGCGTGTCTTAAACAATGAAGAATACTTTCTTACTGAACAGATCGTCTTCATTTGAAGAAATGAAAGGGAAGTGTTTCAATGAGAATGGGCTTCTGACAAAGAGAATTTCACTCCAGAAGTAAAGTCTGCATCTATGTGGAAACAATCTTTTTCCTTCTACAAAGTACATGAAGGTCTTCCTATATCCACTTATGCGAGGTGGCACTTGATTTGAGTGCGATACATGGGCAGGCTTGTTGAGAGAAAAACCCCATACTGCACAAAACACAAAGACCCTCATGCATTTTCACATAAGAGCGAAATTTCTTTGTAAACACTGTCTGTATTCTTCTCAAAATAACTACTAAAGGATTTTGTACAAGATGAGCAAATCATCATTAGAATGAACCTAAAAGGGAAACTATCTGTAAAAGAATAAATCCTTCAGAATGTTCGCTTTTTCTTTTCTTTTCTTGACAAGCAAGTCTAGCTTAAATGTTCACAAATTGCAGGTGACTTAAATCTTTCCCTTTTCTAAAGAAATGCCAACCAGTCTAGGATATGCTTTTGTTCATGGCTATGAATTTTAAACAAAATGCATTGGTTTCTTACAAACATGTTTAATTTTTGCTCCCACCCAGTGGCAACTAACTGCATTCATCATACAAGGAGAAAAGTAATTCTTTGTGCCAAAAGACTGACTTCAGCAACACTTCTTTGCATTGTAAAGATTCACTAGCTAGATTTGAGCATTTAGTGAAATCTCTATTCGACTCTGATTCTTCTAGAACCTGTAGGGAATTGCTTGTGGAAGAAATATTACCTTACCTCCATGGTGGTGGTATATTCTGGCAGCTCCACTTCGTTATCAGCAGTTTACGTGACTTAAACTATGTACTCCTTCTAGTGTTCCAGCTCCTAAGCATATCAGGGTGTTGTTCAAGCTTCCACTTGTGCTATTGCTCTGTTAGACCCCCATGCATATTGGAAAGTGAAAGGCTATAGTTTAGTTGGATTGGCTATCCTATAAAACAAAGCTTAGTTCCTGTCTCATTCCTTTTCCACAGGGTGAATCGGTGAAATACTTCCTGGATAACCTGGATCGGATCGGTCAGCTGGTAAGATGTATCTTCTCTTTCTGAACCAAAAGAGCTCAAAGATATATTTGAAGCCTGGGTGTGCTATGATTAGTGGGATTTGATGTTTGGAATTTCTTCTAATGATGAATTAAATAACATCAGTGTTCTTTCTTTAGGAATAGTAAATTCCAGCCTTATGAAACTGAAGCTTAGTATTTGCTTCATCTTTTTTGGCAAATGACCAATACTGTTTATGGAAGTTGTATATGTGCATGTATTTTATCAGTTCTTCTATACAGCCTCTGGATCTCATTCACTTTTCCTGACAATCTGATGGATGCTGCTACTTGAGGTATCAGAATGAAACTTTACCAGATAAAAATAATTGCCAGCACTTGTAGGATTTCAAATCTGTAATGGAAACATCTGCCAGGAGACTTGGAGGAGAAAGAAGGGACATGGCTTGCCTAAATAGTAACAGTGCCTAAATAGTAACAGTGATGAGCTTCTGAAGAACAAATCTGTACAGTGGTGGGGTGGGTCACAGCCTATGGTAGAACATGTTGCTGTACTTGCTGGTCATAAGTGTGAACCTGGGAGAAGTACTTCCACTAAAGCTTGCAAGATCTCCTTTGTAAGAGTAATGAACTGTAAAAAACATCCTTTCAGGGATGACTTGATCTGTTTTACTGAACACTTCCTAAATTATGCTGTAGCTAAGAATTTCATGGTGAAAAAGTAGGTGTCAGCCTGAAAATGGGAGGCTTGAAACAGAAGTGTGAATGAGTGCATTGGTCCTATATTTTTATTCTTGTATGTCTCAGGATCTTCTGTAGCTGTCTACAGATGTGTTGAGATAAATGATCAACAGCTCATTACTTAAAGTTTAGTATTCCTTCTTCACTTATTAATAAACAAAACATGACTCCTGTTGATTGTTCCTATTGTTTCAATATTCTGGCAATAGCCAGCATTTTTGAAGGACTGTTTTTTGATGCTCTTCTCCTTTTCTCTTACAGAACTATTTCCCCAGCAAACAAGATATTTTGCTGGCTAGAAAAGCCACCAAAGGGATAGTAGAGCATGACTTCATCATTAAAAAAATACCTTTCAAGATGGTGGACGTGGGTGGACAGAGATCTCAGCGTCAGAAATGGTTCCAGTGCTTTGATGGAATAACTTCAATTTTGTTTATGGTCTCCTCTAGTGAATACGATCAGGTTCTGATGGAAGACAGGCGCACAAATAGACTTGTGGAGTCCATGAATATCTTTGAGACAATAGTCAATAACAAGCTTTTCTTTAATGTTTCTATTATCCTATTCCTCAACAAGATGGATCTTCTTGTAGAGAAGGTAAAGACTGTCAGCATTAAGAAGTATTTCTCGGACTTCAAAGGCGACCCTCACAGGCTAGAAGATGTTCAACGTTATCTGGTGCAGTGCTTTGACAGGAAGAGGAGAAATCGTAGTAAGCCGCTCTTCCATCACTTCACCACTGCCATAGACACTGAAAACATCCGCTTTGTGTTTCATGCCGTGAAGGACACGATCCTTCAAGAGAATCTGAAGGATATTATGTTGCAGTGAAGGAAAACAGGCAGTGTTCTGTTAAAGTTTGCCAGAGGGTTAGATCAAAGTTTTTATCCTTTCTTTATGGCCCTTGCATGTGGTGTAGGACCCATGCTAATTACTTGGCTCAGGAATGCTGTAAACTAGCCAGTCCAAACAGAGGAGCTATAGGCCGAAGGAGTCAAATGTTGATGTTAGCTACTGAATCATTTGGACTAGAAACACTACTGAAACATGGCCGTTGTAGGTTCTGTACCTAGTTTGGAATGCTGAATAACACAACCACCTTCTGCCTTCTTAGAAAAAAGAAATCTCTGACAAACCATGTATGGAAGACACGTTTTAAATGAGTATGCTCATTTTTCAGAGACACTAGTCATACAAACTGCCTTTTTTTTTTTTTTGTAGTTTGGAGGTGCTGAATCGATCAAACTAATGTTAAATGTAAGAGATTGGCAGCTGTAATGGAGAATGTTAATGGAAGTTCTGTTCTTAACCCTTAGCTTTGCCAAGAGGTCTGGAATCCGCTTATCAAGGTGGATGCACAGCTCTTGTCTGAAGGTTTTGCATGAGTCTCCTAAGGCAAAAGTATGAAACCATGTAAGGAAACCAGTATTGGAGTAAATTGGGAGGGAAGTTAAGGATATGGAGAAGGCTTTATTTTGCACTATGTGTGAAGGGTATTGTATCATGGGAAAACTGATTTCCTTGGTGAAGCAGCCTGTGCTAGAGCGCCTGACCATGTATCTGCCCAGTGGGTGCTCAAGTGAGATGTACGTGATGGAAATTGAGCACTGTTCTCGCACCCGCAGTTGGCAGTGTCTGTGAAGGTTTGGTATCTTGTGTAGCAGGGCTTGCTGATTAAACTCTTAAGCAAAGGTTTTGGTAGTACAGCAGCTGCTTGATTAGTTCCCAAGAGCTGACCTTATAGGAAGACTGAATACCCTAGAGATCCCAGTTTTACAGCTGCACTGATGTGTTTGGACAGCAAGACCTTGCTGTAAAATTAGCCTTTAATCTGTGTCTTAATGGGATCTTTAGCCTATAGTAATGCACATGGAATTCTGAGTACAGTGGAGTTTGGTGTTGCCCATTTTGGGCAATGGTTTGTGTGTCAAATTGCAAGAGGCGATGGATAATATTGATATGAACTGTTTTTTTCCTAGCACACTCAATCAGTGAAACTAACTGTCAGGTGCCTTTTTTGTGTACAGACATATCTGATCTTTCCTACTACAGTGGGGAACATGGACAAACTGAAGATCTGCCTTTCATATCAACACCGTAGTGCTATCCTTTAGGTAACTTTCAAGTAGTTTGCTGTGCAGTTTTTGGCACAGTTTTTATCCAAGAAGAAAACCTGAAGGGCTGTTTGTACCTATAAAAAGGCAGCAGATTCCCTAGAGTTCTTATCCCCTTTGAGCCTGCAGTGGCATGTCAAAACAAGCAACATTTTACTTCAGCTGCTAATCCCATGGGAAATGTGGTCATAAAAAGTCCTGTTCTGTTATCCTTTCATGTTAATTTGGATAAAATCTGGAATCTTTCTTCCTCTCTGAAGCTTGCAGATGTTCATATCAGTATTTTTGTGTAGTTTCCTAATGTAGCAGTCTTTTGGCTTTGTGCAGGCTTCAGAGTGGAAAAGATGTGGCTATTTCAGTGCTGTGCAACATGCACAATATTGAGGTAAGAAGCAACTGAAAAAGTTTTGACTTAAATTTTGAGCAATCTTAAACAGGGATTAACTTCCTTGTATCGAGTCTTATTTTTGCCAGGACCAACTCTGTCTTTTAAATATTTACTCATTTTTAACCTTGGAGGGGAAATATTTTAATGTGACTCTAATATTCAGATGGGGAAACTCTTAAGATTACTACAATTGAAAAGGTGAATGTTTCAACACAGAGTGAAGCAAACCAGTTTACTTAGATTCAAACCTCATGTAAGGTTTGTTTCTCTAAGCCGAAGACTAAGACTGTTTTCAGAGCTTTCAGATATTCTTGGAGTTCTTGGTAGTAGCTTCCACTTCACTGGGCAAGAGGAGGCAGTTGTGGGCTGACCTGACTTTTAGGTTGACTTGACTTAATTTCCTAGCTTGCTGTGAGCTTTATTCTTTCACTACATTTTCTACATGAGTTGATGAGTTAATACTATGCTTGTTTTCTCGAGTGAGTTAAACATTCCCTTTCATCTGTATTTATTCTCAAGAATTACCTCAGTTTTATGTCTGAATCTACTGTAGTTTTACCTGGGAGGCATAGCATAGAACTTCCTGTTCTGTTTTTCTCTTGATGCTCATGCATTATTATGTATCCTTAGTCACCTTATGGAATTAAAACTCTGAACAGAGCTAGTAATGCAACTTATATTTTAACTTAAAATCTGTACCTGGAAAAGAAACGGCATGAGATATCTCATATTGAGCTCTCAAGCTTGTTTTTTTCGTATGACACAGCAGTTTTGCACACTAAATCAGAGTTCTAGGGAACCAGTTTGTTCACCTCAAGCCCACTATTGCCTTTCTTCTTTTTACTGCTAAAATGGGCCTAAGCGTGGTGTGGTAGACTGCAGATGAAAGTCAGCAGTTTGGCTCTGTAGGCTCTTTGTTCTGTTGGACTTTGATAGGGATGGTTCACACCAGGAACCCAAGATTAGGAAACTCCTTGCAAAAGTCAGGCACTTCTCAAGTTTGCAAAGGATCTGGCAGATGAGCAAAAAGGACTTGTTTTTTTTGATGGCATCTTTCTCTGCAAAATACACTCCCCTTCTTGCCACTACAGAGGGGTTTTGTGTTTGTTTTTTTCAAGGTAAGCTGTAGTAAAATAAAGCCAGAAAATCATGTTATGATAAACCAGTTAATCACTACAGCAGAACTTAGGTAGGTTAGGTCGTACAAACATCTCAAGGCAAGCTTGGTTGGTTGCTTAGTCTTTTCACAAGAATCAAATAGCAAACTTTATTTTAAGTGACATCCTGGAGAACTGTGCAGGTCAACACAGCTGGAGAGAACATCTTTTCTTCTCAACTTTATAGACTTATTGTTCATCTGGCTAGTCAGGAAATGGGTCACAGGCAGGAGAATAATCAGATGGAGACCTTGAACTGCTACTGCCTACTTTAAAGGGCAGCCTTTTGCTGTCCCTCCTCTCACCCGCCGGTCAATGTCCAGTGACAGGGTGTTGCACGCAGGTTATCTGTCGCAGGGACAAAGAGAGGAAGTGCTTGCAGTGTGTGCTTGTAGGAGAGACTTACGTAGTCTTGCAGTTTTAAGTAGCAGAAACTAAATGGGAGTAATTTATCAAACACTACTTTGTGTCTGTTGTCCTCAAAACAGACTTTAAGCTAACGTAGCATGTCAGTCATTCCTTTAGATTGCAGTGCTGTCATTCTCTGAACAATTCTTAGACAGCATTACGAGGTGACATGGTGAATTGGAATTAAAAAGGAAGAATATTTCTCTGCAAGTGACATATTTAATAGGCAGTTGTCACTTTGAAAGAATTAAATAGCTCTTAATGTTGAAAATGAATTAATATTGATTATGGAATAGAAGTTACTGGCCACTCCAAAACCTGAAGATGCTTCCAGTTTGATAGAAATAATTGGTGTTATTTTATTTAATAGATAATTTGACTTATTAACTTAAAAATATATTTAGTATTTTGAAGTAACGCTGTATAAAACCTAGAACTAAGTGTGTTATGAGCATAAAGAAGCTCGTGAAAACGACAGTTCACAGGCTTTCTGAGCCAAATGAAGACTGAACCTCAGCCAAGCAGACAGAGTGGAGAAACTAATGGCAAAAAGCCTGTAGTGAAATGGAGTAGGAAGAGCTCATCTGTATCTGGCATTGCAGACAAAAAAGTAATGTCACTAGGATAGCTAGATTAGGTTTTGGTATGAAAACCAGTCCTGGTTACTGTAATCTGCAAAGAATTGTAGGATTAACAAATGAAAGAACAGACATTGAACCACTGAAGAAACTAGCAGCTTTCTTTACTGACAGGCAACTACCTTCCACAGAATTCCATTTTAGAAAACAAGTCCTTTGCTGCCTTCAGTGGCTGTCTTTGTGGATAGTAACTCCATGTTTTGGAGTCTTTTCTATGGATGTACCTCTCTAGTTCTCCTCGAAAAGAAAAACCATTCTGCTGCATGGCACTACAGGATTTCTGTGAAAGGCCCCTCTGATTTTCAAGCTTTGACACTTGACTTAGCTTTGTGTCCTCAGATTTTCAGGAGCACTTCCTGGGTTGAAAGACACCATGATGCATGCCAGCTTGAGACACGAACACGATATGGAATAACACCTGCATCCATTGCAGCTTGTCATGTAAGCCAAACACTGATCTCTCATGATGAGAACTATATTGATTCCTCAAAGTTTGGTGGGAGCCTCTTTTCTATATCAATTTCTAGTACAAAATCACATGGTGTAGTCAGGGGTTTTAATATAGCACTGCCAACTCTTTACCTCAGTACACTCTATTAATTCTGTAACACAAAGTGGTGGGTAGGACGTTTCAGTAGCAACTCTCAGACATCTGTGCCTGCATTTGTAAATGAGCGTTTAACAGGTTTCTAGGGAGCATCCAGTATGGGTCAGGAAGACTGGCATGGTCTGGGCCAGACTTGGCCTGAATTAACATTGACTCCACACACTTCTAGATGAGGACTGTCTAGCCTAGTGAGGAAGTAATTGGTAAGACAATACAAGACCTAGTGCTTTTTAATATTACCTGTTTTGTAATTAGCTGGGGTGATATCTGCTTTGTGCTGTGAAGTGGGCACTTCTTTGTTTTAACACTAATCTTTTTTACATAGATGGAAATGAGTGAAGCCAGGATATTTGGAGCTGAAACTGCCACTCTGCTACCCAGGTTGATGCTATCTCTTTGCTTATCTTGGTGGTTGGACAGTTTAGCTTGATTCTTGACTTTTTTTATCTTTCTATAATGGCATTTGGAAAGCAGTGTTGAAGTTTGTCTATGTGTTGATATGCTTGTTTTCTTATTGGGTGGGGAGTATGGAGGTATTAGATTGTCAGTGCTAGTGGTTCTGTGCCTGGCTTGATGAACTGTATCACAGCCTAGCTCTTGGCATATGTCTGAAGGCCTTATCTTCTGTCTGATGTGAAAATATTCACAGCCAGAGAGAAAAAAAAGAGCAGCACTGACTTCCAAGGTGGGCATTCTGGTAAAAAAGCCAAAGTATGTTGGAAGGGAGCAGGAGGGGGGGAGCTATTTTTAAACAGATCCCAAAAGCTGATGATGTTTGGAGACTGTATTGAAGTGAAATGCCATCTGCATTGACCCTAAAAGCTTTGAATGACTCCAGAGAGCTATTGGCTGTGAATTAACAGCAGCAGGCTGGCAAGGCTGTGGCTCTGCTGCGGCTGCACACCCTTCCATTGTGAATCTCTCTTCATCTGCTCATAGCTGGTGCCAAAACTCAATTCCTACTAAAATACAGTTTGCAGATCTCTGGCCAGTCAGTGCATCTTACTCCTTTCTAGCAGCTACTTAAACTTCCAAGATGCCAGAGCATGAGAAGTATTCCAGGAGAATGGCTGGGTAAGAGACTGTTTCCATTGTTGGAATGAGAACTACAGCTGATGGAGAGCAAATCTTTCTGATAAGTAGGACATGAGAGAGCATCTTATGAGGGAAGTAACGGATTTTGAATAGCATTGCTTCTCTGCTGGTACTTTCCATCAATCTCTTGTGCTGAGCTTGTGTGCAGGCAGTTGGGCACAAAGGCTGAGAGGAGGTAGCAGGGAGAAGGGGGATGTGGAAGAGAAATGATCTTTTGGTAGCTCACAAGACTTGGAAAGCATGGTGGTGGACTTAG